GGGTTTGCTTCTGTTGTTTTCTCAATGGCATGCATTAGGAAGTGAAAATTCAGGTAGGTTGGGTCTAGAGTTAGTGGCAAATACATTAACAGTGACAAGAAGAGACTATTCAAGGTCAAAAACAGGATCTTGAGATCCTATGAGGAAGGAACAAAAACGATGGGCCAAAGCTCAAAAGCACAACAGCTGGGGGCCTGCAGATGTGGATCCAAACAGCCTGGCCAACTCAGGTCCTTACTGAGGACACAGTATTGTGACTGACATTCTACGTTCTATGGTAGATGGCTCTGAGTCATCCTGAGAAGTTTAAGAGGAGAGTGTAATGCATTTTAAGAGACTTTTCATCCATAGAGTCCTTTAAAAAGGTGTGTTTTCCATTTAAAGTGTGTTTCAGTTATCTCAGAATTTACCTTAGCAGAAACTCTCATTGTCTGGGAGCACAGAAAGGTGATTTTCCTCTACCCTTACAAGGAAGTTTTAAGGATGTGCATTTCTTCCTCCTTTGCAGCGTGGAACAATGCTGTCAGACAGGGAGAGTAAATCTGGTTCTTGTGAGTATGAGCCAGAGAGAATTTTAATCATTTCAGAGGAATCTAAACTGAGTAATTCCTGACGTCACTTCACTGATACTGTCCACCTCTCAGAGTGACGAGCTTGGGTCTGGGCCACCATGGTTTTCTCATTCTTTGGCAGGCACAGACAATTCTAAAAATATTCTCTAGAAGGAACTTCTGCAGTTTTGATGTTGGCATCTTTGTTTCTCTTCGCTTGGGGAGAGCAGCCTGCTTGCAATGGACAGTGGCAATCAGTTGAGAAAGAGTTCCTAGGGATTGAGTCTAATTTGAGGGCTCTGTGAAGACTGTCTGTATTCTCCACCCGCAGGACAGTCTTCTTTTCTGGTTTGACAGAAGGGAAGGCAGTGTAAAGATGCATATTTCTAGTAGAAACTCTAGTTTAGAAGGAAAGACATCAAGAATCAAGGACCCTAGAAAAGTTCAGGGTTTTGATTGGTTCCTCTGTTGGTAGAGTTATAGGATGGGCTGAAATGAAGAGTGATTGTAAGCCTTTAAGAGGTGGCTAATTAGACTCAGTGTTTTCTTCTAATTTCTACAGGGTTCCCCCAAGCTGTGTCCCTCCAAAACTGGGTTCCCCTCCAAAACCTGGTGGATTACCACAGATAGAAAACTAGGCAGTTGACACTCATCAGTTTATATTCCATTTCAACCTCTATCCTGCTGCCCCAGGCAGGCAACTGGAGGACTCAGGGCAAACAAGAAGCCTAAAGAAAAGACTTACAGCTACTGTTAGTTTAGTAGGGTTCTCCCCCACAAATGACAAAGTTTCTTCCTTTCTGATCACTCTATATTCAGGCCTTTATGTGTACACTCTGTCTCCTTCCGATTAGCACTTTATTTCTGCCTTCTTGAATACAAATCAGCAGCCAACAAGAACTAGAAATGTGAAGATTGCTTCTAGTGTGAAAAGAACAGAAGAAATAACCTGTATCAAATAGCCTTAGAGCTAGAAGATGCTGTACTCACTAAATAAAAACATAAAACACAAAAAGTAGCATTCAGAGAATGAAATAAAAGCTCTTGATAACTGAATATATGACAAAATAACTTAAAAAACCTAACTTTGAAAAAAAAACTCCCAGAAAGTTGAATATCAACAAAATGAGAACATAAAATTATTGAAGAAAGAGAGCAAGAAAATTTCCCTGCACTGAAAGGACATGAAATTTCAGATTTTAAATACTTCCTAAGGAATCAAAAACAATAAATAGAAACAGTCCCTATCAAGGCATATCTTCATGAAATTTGGTGAGAAAAGAGAACTAGAGAGTCTCTAACAAAAGCAAGGAAAGACAAACAGGAAGAATGAATGAATGAATAAGAGAAGTGGGAAATACTTTCAAAATTCAGAGTGAAGATGATTTCTGATCTAAAATTCTTCCAAGAAAAGCTGTTCATGATGTAACGGTGAATATGTTTCACCAAAGTTAGGAAGTAAATAATCAGTGAGGAACAGGGAAGATCCAAGAAAATGAATAAATAGGTGATAGGCAGAAAGAAAACCAGATAAATGAAAAGAGGGAATACTAGCGCAAAAGAAAACACACATGCAAGGAAATATAATCAAAGTATATAGCTCAGCTAAGGATAAAATTTATATGGTCTTCATGGTGTAAACCCTATCCATTTGACAAAGAAATAGATGCCAGGACATGATTAGGGTAGGAAAACATTGGATATTAAGATATTTTGGGAGAAGAGGTGATAATTAGGACCCATGTTAAGTCTCTCACTGAAATATAAGCCACAGGAGAGAAGAGTTTTGTTTTATTTTCTGTGAACTCTTAGTGCTCTAGAACAATGCCTGGTATGTACATAGTAGGTCTTCAGTAAATACATAATTGAATGAATGAAACTTTCTCCTGTGGAACATTTCTTCTGGGAAATTTGTTAAGAGAGCATTAAAATCAATAAAAATAAACTTCAAAAGCTGTGATACATGGAGCCAGTTTCTCTCTAAAACTTAAATACTGTCTTCAGAATCTAAAAGTAACGATATAAACTGTTTAAGCTGAACATCAGAATGTTTAAGAGATGATTTAAATGCCGCGAATATTCCTAGGAAACTATTCTCTCTGAATCTGTGTGCTAGTAAGGTTGATTAGAGATGCCTTGAAGCTCAGAGCAGTTGCAGGGAAATCAAGGTACAATTTTCTCAATTTAGGAAGAAAATTTGTCTTATTGAATTTTCTTCGTCTTCGCCCATTAATAGAATACAAGGATAGGCTGAGGCGGCTTCCCCCAGCGGGTGGACTCCAGAGGAGAACCCTTCAGCATTTCTTACACTGGATTCCACAAAGTCTATCCCAGGACACGGATTCCTTTTATTGAATAAACAGAGGTGCTCATTCGGACCAAAGATATGTCTTCCAACTCACCAGATCTAAACTGGGTCTACCCCAATTCAACTGGCTGCAATTTACTGTCTGATTCTCAGGACGATGAATCTATCTGAACTGTTTATTCAGCTCCTTGATCCTTCTGCCTTCACCGAATGAACATTTGTTGTGTACCTACCATGCACCACGCAGACCCCAGCAGGGGAAGATTAGATCGAAAAATCATGAATGTTTAGAGCTAAAACAGCCGGTTCTATGGAGCACCCAAGAAGATAGCCGAGTATACTTGCTGTTGTCTTGCTGGCCCTTGTAGAAACTACTACCTCTCCATCCCAGATAGTTCTGTGCGGTGTTGTGGGCCACGGAGGCTTCCGTAGAGCACCAGAGCAGCCTGGGACCCTGCCTCCTGGTGCCAGGACAGCGTTTATCCCAACACCAGCAAAGTCCTAGCGTCGCAGACCAGTCTTGAAACTCGGTCCAGCTTGGCTTTCCAGTATCCAGGCCCGACAGCTCAAAGTTCTCTCAAGTTAAAATTTTGGGGCCAAACACCAATGAGGACCCCTCCTTCGCTCCCAAGCTGCCTGGGGCTCTTAAGCGGAGGCGTCTAGAAGTCAGGGTGGATCTTGGCTTCTACGCGCGCTCCTCTCTCCCAGCCACGGTGGCCTAGAGCTCTGTGGATAAGTGGCCCGTCAGGAGCTACTGGGCTACCAGCTCTGCTGGATCTCTAAGACTGGGCAGTGGTCAGGAAGAGGCGTGTGTGCGTGTGCGTGTGCGCGCGCGCACGCGCTGAGGGCGGAGGCCTCAGGCAGGTAGCGCCTCCCAACTTTGCCTTTCCAGTCAGCAGCCCCTCTCCTGGGCCAGAATCGGGAAGAGGGTCACAGACGTCCCTCTGCTATTTGCAGGGCTTTAGTGGGATGGATGGTCCTCAAGTACAGGCCGCCGTGGCTCAGCCTCCCTGCGTGCACTCAGTGCCCCCGATTGCAGCCGGGAGGGAGAGTTACCCGGGGTGGCGGTCAGGAATTTTTGGGTGTTCACTGGAATTTCGATTACTAGGGTACTAGAGGCCAACTTGTCACGGAAAAATGACCCAGAGGACCTAGACAGACATCCCCTGAGCTCTTTTCTGACTGGCAGAAACAGCACGAGCCTCGGGCATCCCTGAGCTTCGCCTGCGGTCCCGGACCCCAACCGCTGCGCTTTCGGATCGCCAGGATGGGGCACAGGAGCGCCCGCGGGTACATTTGGGGTGCTGTTGCCAAAGGCGCAGAGAAAGTGTGAAGCCCGGGGAATTGGGGGAGGGTCCCCTCTTTCTCCTCCTCCATACCCCTTTAGCCAGAATGGAAATCTTTCCCCCTCACCCCGCGTGTGGAGAAGGGCCAGCATCTACTCCAAGAAAAAGGGGAGATGCCGAATCCGCATGTGTGGATGGATGGATGGACGTTTGCAGTTGTGCGTATTTGGGGAACAATGTGTACCCGTCTGTGTAAAACGTGCCTGTTTCTGAAAGCAGAAACACCGGGCTGCTTTCTGGTCTTGGCCAGGTTGCACTGGATTAGTGCGCCCGGGTCTTTCGTGGGAAGCCGGTGCCGGCGAAGGTGCGGCGCGCGCAGGGGGCTTCAGGAGACTCGGTGTGAGCCGCACTCGCAGAGCGTGTATTCCGGTCCAGGTACGCGAGAGCGTGCTGCGCGCCCCGCGGTGAGCCAGCGCTGGCCAAGACGAGGTCTAGTCCCGCAGGCTGCACCCTGGGCGGTAGAGCGCTTTCCCCTCAGCCAGGAGGTGCCGGCCCCTTGCTTGGTAGCTCTTGGGAGTTTCAGCAAAGTGGGGCTGGGAAGGAGAGAGAGAGAGCGGCCTGGACCCAGATCGTCCGAGCCCAGCGACCTTGCCCAACAGGCGCGGGGAGGCTGTACAGGCCGCCTTCCTTGCTGCCGTGTGAGGTCCGGGGTGGGCGGAGGATTCTGAACGCACAGCTTGGGGCGGGGGGGGGGGTATCCCAGGAGGCGCTAAGAGAATGTTCAAGGCTCCTTTCCCTACCGCCTGCCTGTTTCAGCGGAGATCCTTTTAGAACCCAGGACTACTGTTCTGTCTTCCCGGGGGTCCAGGTGGGGTCCCCTGTGGGCGTGGCAGTAGGAGATGCATCCAGGAAGTGAGGAGCTCTGGCAGCTCACAGTACATGACGTCACACTCCCCAATTTGCCCCCACACTGTGGAAGTACCCGCTCTTTCAGGCCCTTCAGTTCCCGGCCATGACCTCAATGCAAATGACAAGCGGGAGCGGAAGGTCCCATCTCCGGAGAACTTGGTGGGTAGCTAGAGCTATGACATAATGAGAGCTCCGTCGGTTCTCTGATTGGCTGGTCTTGGGCACTTTGGATTGGCGGAGCCGGCCGCGCCCCCCTCCCCCCGGGGGTATCTGGAATAAGAGCCCGAGTCTTGGGGAGGAGCCCGCAGCAGGAGTCGCGCTCTTGGCGGGTGGACTCGCAGCTCGCGCTGCTCTGAAACTCGTGTCACCAGGTGAGGAATTCCCACTCTGTTCCCGCGGATGACCTTCTTCTCTTCCATCCCTCAGCGGTCATTTCCGCCTCCCTACGGGACCCCAGGGGTCCCAGCTCTCTTTCTAGCTGGGGCGAGGGCGGTCGGGGCTCTCCTGGTATTTTCTCCTCACCGAAGCGAGTGGAATCCGGGGACCGAAGGGCTCGGGGGCGCTGGGAGCTGGGCGAGTCCAGGTGGGCGTGTCCGTGGCACCTGCCTTGGGGCGGGTCGGTGCCCAGTATTTGGTTCCCGGGACTGTGGAGCCCTGGGGTTTCCTCTGAGGCGTCTTCCGCCCGCCAGCCTGCGAGTGGCCTACCGCAGCGGGCTCACCTAGAAGTGCGGGCTCCCAGCACCTGCTGCCAAAATGTGCACCTGTGCTCCCGAACATCTGTAACTGGCAATTTAAAAATGTTTCCAAGGGCCGGGGATTTAGCTCAGTGGTTAAGCCGCCTGCCTCCCAAGCTCAAGGTCCCGAGTTCGATCCCCGGTACAAAAAAAAAAAGTCTCCAAATCTGAGTCGTGGATTTGAGACCTTAGCGCTCCTTTCCAACATACCGTTCCAGCACCCTCCCTTCCCTGCATTGGCGCCACCGCTAGCAGAGGAAAAGGTGGTGGTAAATTTCTCAGTGAGCAGGCGGACAGAACGAGGGAGCAAGTGTACAGGAGGGTGGGTCAGCTCTAAGTTTCTGCACAGGTCAGGGCAAAAGGTGTGGGTGTGTGCCTGGGGGCGAGTGCTTCTCCCTGTCCCACCGCAGACTCTGCCCCTCCTGCTTCCCCACACCTGTTTCTCCTCCACCGAGACATGCACTGCAGTGTACCTTGAGATTCGCCGTAGCCCTTCTGGCAAATGAAGGTACAGAGCGACCAGAAGGTCAAGCAACTTGCCCGAATCACAAGGCAGTGGAGGTGCAGGCAGGACTAGAAGCTAGGTCTGTGGTCCTGATGCGGTGATTCTTCATTCTCCCTTTACAGAGAGGCGTCATGGGCTTCCGGAAATTCTCCCGCATCCTGGCTTTCAGCATCTTGGTCCTGTGCCAGGCCGGCAGCCTCCGGGCAGCATCTTCCAGGTGAGGCAGCCAGAAGCCACTGGCTTCCCGGGTCAGACAGCTCTGTGCCTCTGGAGTCACGTGTAGCTCTTGGTGAATCCACGTCCTCGGGACACTGGCCTCATGCCCTCTCCCGAGGGAGTTGGGGCAGCCACATCCTCAAGGGAAGAAGCAGGAACCAGAAAGCCTGGCTGCTTCTAGGGAGAAGGAGCCAGGGTCTCAGAGCCCACACCCAGTTTGCTTTCCCCTACCAGGCAGGACTTGGAGAGCAGCCCAGTCCTGGTCGCGCTAGGTGAAGAGGAAGCGCGCCTCCTGCTGGCAGCACTGGTGCAGGACTACCTGCAGATGAAGGCCAGTGAGCTGGAGCAGGAGCAGGAGACAGAGGGCTCCAGGTAAGGCTCCCACCTGGCCCTGACTTACCCAGGAGGATCAAGCTCAGAGAGTCAGGAAAAACCTTTCCGAGAGGCCAGCAGGCCATCCTTATTCACCATGACCTGGGGCCTAGCTATTCTCAGCTTTTGTGCAAGACAGAGGTCCTGGTGAAGCTGGAGGGGCTGTGGTTAGACACATTAAAAAGACAGCTTTCTGAAAGTTATTGGGGAAGGAAATGAGGAGGTGTGGGAGCGCTCTGGGAGTTGGTCTTGCAGTACTGGGGAGACATCACAGCATTGGATGAATTAGTGGTAAATGTGAAGCCAGAGGATGGACTCTGTATCTCAGGAAGTTTTAGGAATTTCATCTGTTATTTTTCACTTGCACAGAGTTTTCATTTCACACTTGCAAGACTAAGAGAAAGCCCTTGCAGGGGATTGGGGATAGGTAGGGAAGTGCCTGAGACAGGGAGGTGTGCATGTTGTCACAGGCCCAGGGAGAGTGTGTACCCTGAGCCTGGGAGAGAGACCAGCCCTGGGCTGGCCCCAGCTCTGCCCAGATAGAGGCACAAGTTGACCTGGATCCACCCTGAGAGCCCCCTGTCAAGCATGAAGGACTGAACCACGTGTGGAATGTCAGAGAAGATCACCCTTACCACTGCCCTGGCCCAGGCACCTCTGAGCCCTCCTGACGGAGGATGTGTGAGCTGCCCTCCTGCCTGTGCCTCCTCCCTTACCTAAAGGGTTCCTGCCTGGTCTAACCTGCTGACCGCCCATGGGGGCAGTGCATGGCACTGCCTGTGGATGGCACTGTCTGGCATGTCTTTTCCCTGCAGCCTGGACAGCCCCAGATCTAAGTGGTGTGGCAACCCGAGTACCTGTGTGCTGGGTTCATACTGGCATGATTCACATTTTTCTGGCATCAGCTTCAGGCCTGAAACACCTTCCAGGAAGAGAGATATAGCCAACATCTTGCAGAGGGACCACTACTTCACTTTGGGGTGCCTCAGGATGCTTTCTGATTTCCTTTCTTGCTTCCCTTATGAACTTGATGCATGTGGTATTGGTAGCTTTGCTTATGACTGAGACTGTTGAGGACCCAAGGATGGAAAAGGAGATAGCAGAACTCAGATGAGACCAGGATAAGAGACAAAGCCCTCAGAGGATTTCATGGCAAAGGTTTCCAATTCCTGCTTCTGGATGCACTAAAATAAGTACATCCATCATGCTTCACCATTTGATGAATGAATCTATTTTTCTAAAAGGACATGAGTTGTGGTGGCCCTTGCTCTGGGCCACACCCAAGAGTTGTGAATATCTAGTGCCTATGCTCAGAAGTAGGCAGCTGGATATAGGGCTGGTGGATGGTGTTCTCTGTGACCTAGCTCAGGCACCAAGAACAGTGTGCTAAGTAAGAGCAGGTAAGTACTTCTGGGAGAAGCTGCAAGCCCCATTCTCTGAGCTTCTTCCAGGTAAGACTTTAGGTGGGATTTCATTTTCATATGGAAAATTATTTTTGTTGCTGATTATGGTAGGAGTATGATTTCATTATATGCCTTGTGTGTTCTGGTGTGGGACTGGGCCTTGCCACCTATTCCTTCTTGAATGATAGATGCAGGGTTTCAGCATGTGCTCCATGGTTCAGGACTGTTGTTTGGTGATGGGTTTTGGGCAGAGCTCCTAGCAAAGGCTGCCAGGCATTTCCCCTAACAGATTTGATAATTGTACTTAGAAGAAACACTTATTGTTAAGTGGTGTGTTGAAAGAGCTGCAGCTCTGTTTATGATGGCCCCAGGGGGAAGGTTCCTCTTCCAACTTCTGATAGACAGGCCTTCTCTCCTTTCTCCATCCTGCATATCAGTGTCACTGCCCAGAAGAGAGCCTGCAACACCGCCACCTGTGTGACCCAACGGCTGGCAGGCTTGCTGAGCAGATCAGGGGGTGTGGTGAAGGACAACTTCGTGCCCACCAATGTAGGCTCCAAAGCCTTTGGCCGGCGCCGCAGGGACCTTCAGGCCTGAGCAGCTAAATGGTCCCAGGAAACAGGTGACTGCCTGCTACTATGGGATGGGACGGGAGGGTTTTAGAAGTTAAGATCCACATTTTGAAACCTGCTGACCCTGGTAGATTCTTGAGGTCTCCTCTCTGATTCCATTCTTCCTTGTGAAGTAGTGAGTTCCATCTAGAACATCAATGCTAGGATAGGCTTCAGGGACACAGTGTCATTTTTTCTGAGAAGAGAAATGAAGAGAATGCTGGCTGGATTCAGAAGACAGAGGCCTACAAAACTTAACCCGGGCCACTCCTCCCCAGTGAGCCTATCACAAAGAAATCCACCCTGCTTACTGTCCACAGATGCAGACCAGAGAGTGGTCATCATATTACCAGCAATATTTACAGTCACAGTTGAATTGTTTTCTCTTCATTTGGCCTACAAGCCTGTTTACATTGCTTATCCATAATTCATAAATGCTACTTAGTGAAAAAGTACTTCTGTGAGTGTTCTCTTCAGTGAAACTTATGATTATTCACCTCTTGTCCTCCTATTCTTTTTGTCCTCTTCTTTTCATCACTTTCTCATCTTCCTCTTCTTTCTTTTTCCTCTCTATCTTTCTCTTCTTTTTTCCTCATCCCAGGTTACCATGAAGCTGAACTCACCACTTCTATTAATTCCCGTTGACAGCAACTTGGTGAGAAGGCCCCATGGAAGATAACCATGTTTGCATCCTAATAGATACTGAAAAAAGCACCTTTGTCACTTGAAAGAAATGAAGCTGAATGCAAAATAAGCTAATTCCATATTTATTGTGCATCATTTTTATTCTACGTCCAGTAAATGTGATGGCATCTCCCATTGGCTTATCTGGTAGTAAACTGGTTCACTGAGAGCCATCCTGTTAATCATGGCAGCTCTGCCAAACCTTAAGCAGACATGAAATCACTGCCTCTTGCAGCCTCTGGGAACACATGGTAATGGTATTGCTGTGCCTTGTCTAAGAACATGACTGTACAATTTGTTTAAGGAAATGTCATTATTGTGCCATTTGTGAACTTCATCAAGATTAAAAACATATTTTCGATACATTTGTTTCAGCTTGTTTTTCTATGTAATATAGTAGTAGTACTACTACTTAATAGTTTTGAGTACTTACTGTGGGCCAGATGATGTTTTAAGTTGGTGCTTTATACCTGTGAATTCATTTAATCTTCATGACAAAGCCAGGGAAGATATATTATATTTCATTTCCCAGGAAAGGGAGAAGTAAAGTCCAGGGTCACACAAGTAGACAGTAACTGGTCCAGGGGTTGTTGTCAGAGCTTGGAGCTGAAACTGTTACATTGTTGCTTTTTAAAATGGCTCTTGATGTTTTTCAGAGACCATTTTTTTTTTTTTTTTTTGCCTATCTGTCTGCCGTGGTAGACCCTCAGATTTTGTAGACATGGAAAATTTTAAACATACAAACAACCTAGTCTTCTTCTAATTTAATGAATTATTTGTAGCTGTTATTTGACCTCAAGAATGATCAGTGGTCAAGATTGGTATATCTATGTACCATCTCCTTTCCTACTACTAGTGTGATCTTTATCACTACATCAATAAACACTTTATCACGTATTTCTGATGGGAATGACTCTTTTAAACATTACCAAAATCCCATTTAAAATCCAAAATACATAAGCCAACAATAATTTCTTAATTCTTTAATATCACACATCCAGTCTTGGTTCAAATTCCCCAATTATCATATATATTTATGTGTGTATAGTCAAATTTGTATAAAACCTGGGCTCATTTTGGGTCTTCATGTAGCTGCTGGTTGATGTCTAAGGCTCATCTAACCCAGAGATTTCCCTTCCAGGGACTTTTTCCCTTGCAATTTGTTTGTTGGAAAGACTAGGTTATATGCCCAATAATTTCCCACATTTTGGATTCTGATAACTGCGTTGCCGTGATGGGGTTTAACATGTATTTCCTGAGAGTTGACAGACCTCGGGTGAGTAATGGGGAAGAGAAATAGGAGATGAAGCTGGAGAGGAAATAGGGAGGACAGATCATCTAGGACTTTGCAAGGCACAAGAAAGACTTTGGCTCTCCCAGTCAAGTTCTAGGCAGGATAAAAAGCTATATCAATAATTTTAACAGAAAAGTATTTAATACAAGGGAATGGCTGAATATGTATCAGAGAACTGAAAAGACAGAAGAGAATAGAAGTGGTGCAGTGATAGAAAGTGTAATGGACCAAAGAGAAGAGGTGGCTGATAAGAATCCAGAAATGTGGAGGATTCTCAGGCCACTGAGAAGGAAAGTTGACAGCTGCTGGTGTCCCTGGTGGTGGGAGGGGAGTGCAACAAGGCTGTTTGAGGACAGAGTATGGAAACTGGAAAAGCCTTCAGTGAGAGAGAAAAGCAACTCTGGAGGATGCTGACAGAAACAGAAATCAAAATTGGAAAGCCAGTTCCTTTTCTTCTTTATGCCTTCTGGTCTTCTTTTAGGGTTTTCAATTTGCAGTTTATAGGAAGTTCAGCTGGCAAAGGAAAATGTGGTTTGCAGAGTTGCAACACCAGGATTTTATTAAATGTGTTACTATAGATCTGCTAACAGAGAATCTCATTCTTTTTAGTGTACAGATGTATGAGTTTGGACAAACCTGTCGTGTGCTTGCCATCAAAATAAAGACTTACAACAGGTCCATACTTCCCCACGTCTCCCCAAGACAGCTTCTCTCTTGCTGTCAGTTGCTCTCTCGACCCCCAGTCTCCACTAACAACTGTTATGTTCTCTGTTCCTATGCTTTATCCTCTCCAGAATGCTCTTCAAATGGAATCGGTATGTAGTTTTGAATCTGGCTTCTTCTCTTTAGCATAATGCACTTGAGATTTATCTATATTCTTCCATATATCAATAGTTTGTTTCTTTTTATTGCTGAGTAGTGGACGTTGAGAATCCATAATTTGAAAATCCAAAATCTGCAATGGTCCAAGATTTGAAATGTTTTGAGTGTCAATATGACATTGCAACAGTGGAAAATTCCACACCTGAACTCACGTGATTGGTATTAGTCAAAATGCAGACTCACTAAAAATATTGCATTTTTTAGTGACTAATAGTGAGCATCTTTTCCTGATCTTATTTTCCATCTGTTTATCACTTTTGTTAAAGCACCTGTTCAAAGCTTGCTAAATGTTTAGTGTGTTGGTTGCTTTATCATTGTTGAGTTTTTAGAGTTCTTTATATGTTGTGGATGCAAGATTATTATTAGATAAAAATTTTCAAAATGTGCCCTAATTTGTGGATTATTTTTCATTTCCACAGCACTAGCTTTGATACAATAAGAGTTTTAACTTTTTTTGAAACCCAATTCATCATTTTAAAAAATTTTATGGCTTGTGTCTTTGGTTCATATCTAAGAACTTTTTGCCTAACCCAAGGTCTCAAGGTCACAATGACTTATTCTGTACCTTCTCATTTAAGTCGAAACCCCCTTACCTTATGTGTAGACTCTGTGTGGTGATTTGCTTCTAACAAATAGAATGTGGCAGAGGAGATGGTAGCTGACACCCAGTTAGAATATATAAGGGATTGTGACATCTTCCTTTAATTCTCTTGGGTCACTTGCTCTAGCGGCAGCTGGTTGACTTGCAAGGACCCTCAAACAGCCACATGAGAGGTCTACATAGCAAGGAACTGGCATCATGACAACAGCCATGTATGTGAGGTTATAATTGGGTCTTCTACCCAGTTAAAACTTTGAGGTGATTGCAGCCCAAGTGGACAATTGACTGCAGCCTTTTGACAGACCCTGAGCAAGGACCACCAGCTAGGCCACTTCTAAATTCCTGAAACACAGAAATTGTCAAAAAATTTGTTGTTTTAAGCCACTAGGTTTCAGGGTGATTTATTATGTATCAATAAATGATATAGCCTTTCAACATGATTTTAGCTATACATTTTTTAAAGTCTAATTTCTTTTCTTTTTTTTTTTGGTACTGGGGATCGAACTTGGGTCCTTGCACTCGCAAGGTAGATGGCAGAACCACTGAGCTAAATCCCCGGCCCCAGCTATACATTTCTTTAACAGCCTTACTTTGTCAGGCAAAGAGCATTACTTTCTATTCCCAATTTGCTGAGTGTTTTGGTTTTGTTTTGTGTTTATCATGGATAAGTATTGAATTTTAAAAAAATTTTTCTGCATTTATTGATATGATCATGTATTTTTCTTCAGCTTGTTAATGTGGTGAACTACTTTAATTGATTTTTAAATTGTTGGAACAACTTTGCATTTCCAGGATAAACTTCCTTTCATTGTCATGTGTTTTTTCTTTTTCTCTATCTCTATAAAAGTGTATTTTATATATATATATACACTATATAACATATATAATATATACACACTATATCAAACAAATCAATGTCATATATCAAGAAGATGCTTGGTAATAAATTTATTGGTGGATTTTTGTTTATGTTTGAGGAGAACTTTAGTTTGTGCTTTTAAAGTTTTTGCTTTGGTGTCAGGTTCTCATACAATTCGTTGTTTCTTCTTCTTTTGTATTTGTAAGTGACCAGTTAAAATTGGTATTATTCTTACCTAAAAGTTTGGAATAATTTACCATTGCATTTTCCTGGGCCTGGAATTTTCTTTGTTGAAAATTTTTAAACTATTAAATGAATTATATATAAATAAATGGATTGCAGTTTTCTCCTCATTCTATGAGTTATCCTTTCACTTTCTTGATAGGGCCCATTGAAACAAAAAAGTTCTAAATTTTGATGAAGTCAAGTTTATGTAGTTTGTTTTGGGAAGGGACACTTGTACTTCAGGTGGTGTATCTAAGAATCCATTACTTAATCCAAAGTCACAAAGATTTACCTGCAATTTCTTCTAAAAGTTTTACAGTTTTTAACTCTTAAATTTAGGTCTCTGATTTGTTTCCAACTGATTTTTGTCTATGATATGAAGTTGAGGTGCAAATTCATTTTTTTTTTTTGCATGTGGATGCCTGTTTGTCTCAGCACAATTTATCAAAATGTTTATTGTTTTCTGCAATGGCTTGTTATGGAAACTTTAAAAAAAATCAATAGGCCAGAGATGTTTAAATAGAGTTCTGGACTCTATTTTATTCCATTGATATTTATGTTTATCCCCAACTATTAATGAACATTTTAAATTAATATAGCTTTGTAGTAAGCTTTAAAATTGAGAGAGATGAGTCCTCCAGCTTTGTTATTTTCTTTTCAAGATTGTCTTGGCTACTCTGACTCTCTTTTATTCCCATATTAATTTTATAATGAGCTTGTCTATTTTGCTGAAGAAGCCAGAATTTTGAAAGGGATTATATTGAATCTATAGATCGGTGTAAGTGGTATTGCCATCTTAACAATGCTCCAATTTATGGGCCCATGATGTCTTTTTATTTAGTTAATACTGTGGTTTACATGAGATTTGTCTCTCAAGGGTGCATGTGTTGGAAACTTGGTCCCCAATGTGATGGTATTGGTGGAACTTGTAAGAGTTGAAGCCTAGTGGGAAATCCTTAAGGTGCTTGTCCTCAGAAGGGTTTATTTTGGCTCACCATTTATCGAGGTTGCAATCTATAGCAGCTGTCTCTAAAGAAGGACATTATGGCAAAAGTGCATGGTGGAGAAGCTCCTTCATGATATGGCAGCTGGAGAGAGGGAAGGGAGGAACAGGGAAGGGACATACACCTTCCAGGTCATGCTTCCAGAGACCTATCTCATTCTATTAGGTTCTTCTTCCCAACATCACATTTAGCTATTTACTCATTATCCACTGATAATTACAATAACCCTGTGATCCAAGCACCTCCCTAAAGCACCGCCTATGAGTTCATGAAGTTTTGGGGGGCCCTCTAGATGTAAACTATATCAGTTCATTATTATTTTTATGGCTTTAAAAGTATGTTTAGAATATTCCTGTGATTTCATCTTTTACCTATTGATTATGTAGGGCTGTGTGTTTAATTTCTACATGTTTGATTTCCCAAATTTCTTTGATTTTCAATTCCATTCCATTGTGGTCAGAGAACATACACTGTATGATTTCCATCCTTTAAAATTTATT